CATTAGCATATGACCTAGATCAAGTCAGAGTTGATCTGGTTGGAGGTTAATAGAGGAGATGCACTCTAGTCCCCTCTATCATTAGTGTTCATCCTTACCTTTGGGGTTATATATATTCTAATTGGTAAACTGCTATTAGAATATATTATATATTGAAAACATACTGAATCCCTCGGTTTCTTCCCAGATTTGTATCTTTCTCAGGAATTCCAGATTTAAGAAGATGGCAGAAAGGAACCATGGACCTAACATGGTACCTGTTGTATAGTCAATGCCCAGTAAATATATATCATTCATGCTGAAAAAAGTGGTCAGAAATTGAGGAGAAATGGCTCCCCTGGCAGCTTTGAAAGCCCTTTAATTCTCCAAATATCTCACAAGCAGGCTGATATAAATGATCCTAGACCATAGGAGTGAAGACACCAAGTTTTTATTCCATATCTACCCCCCACTCTGGGTATGGCCATGGTCGTGCCACTTTCTTTCTCTGACCTTCAGTTTTATCATCTATGAATGGCGAAGTGTGGATTAAAAAATGTCTAAGTCTTTATCTCTGTTACCATGACAAGAATAACAACAAAAACAATAATGACAGTATTTTTGAGCCCTTACTGTGTTATAGGCATTTTGCTAATAGTTTATATTCAATATTTTATATGATATTCACAAAATTATATTATATGCCATTAATTTTAGCATATAAGAAAATAGATGTACAAGGTTAAAGAACTTGTCCAAATCAAGCACTAAGTGGGATTGTACCAGGATTAAGTCCTAGGCAGTGTGAATTCTGAGTGCATGTTCTTAGCTACTGCCCTATATTACTACTTATAAGACTGAACTGTAGCCATATGTAGAGAATGGTACATTGTAGAACCACCATACTGTGGTTGAATCTCACTGATTTGCATTTGTACATAGAGATGCTCACAGACCTTTTTAGTATTCCCTCCACAGAGATGAGGAAGGGGACTGAGGGGTCACTGCATTCACCTGTCTGCATCTGCATTGCATTTAAATCTTCTGAAAGAGTGCCAAGAAAAGCAATCTTACAATTTATTGTATGAGTCTGTTCATGTATTTAACAATCCTTCCTGTTGTTGGATTACAAGCTATAGAAGGTTAGGGACCATTTGTTTTATGGTCTCATTCTTCAGGCCAATAGAACTAAGAGTGGTGTATATTCAATTGAAAATTGAATAGCTTTGAGGAAGCTCACTTTTTAACACCCTCATTTTGAAACTTTCTGTAGGAGGCAGCATGGTATAAAAGAAAAGATAAGGCTTTGGAGTTAGAATAGGGGTTCAAATATCAGCATTATCCCATCCTCATTTATATTCTTGATCTTTACTTTGGGGATAAGAACATGTAACTTGTTTGGTTGTTGTTAGGATTAAATGGAAAAAAAGAAAAGTTTGTACTAAATGCAGGTTCCTTTCCTTGAGATCTTTATACAGATCTAGTCCCAACTAGAACTGGACACTTATATACACCTATAGTACCCTTGATAGGAATAGTTACACTTCAAGTTGTCCAGATTTTCCACTTGAATTAAACCTATGAACATTAAAACTGTTTAGAACTTTCTCACTGACCTGATCATGTTTATGGGAGTTTTGTCCATGGTCCAAATTATTCTGAAATTCATGGAAATATCTAGAAAGCTATGCCCATTTGAAAATGAACGTCAGCCATCTTTTGGCTTTAAGGCAGTTAATTAATCCTGGCCACAAGCATACTGAATTCCCTCATGAAGAGCCAACTCTTTCAATGGCTATCTGGAAATAAATTGAAAAGCAGACAGACGTGGAACCAAGCTCAAAGAAAACAAATATAATCAGCCAGACTTGAAATCCTGGGAAACTGAATGAAACAAGACCCTCACTCCTTTCAATGAATAATTCAATGTTTTCCCCTCTTTTCAAATTGTTTTTTTATCACATACATTGCTCTGCTTTGGTATCTATTGGAATGGAGATGTTGTTGGTTTATGATTGTAACCATGGAAGAAACTGACCATAAGAAGCTTGCAGATGAAATGAGGGATGCCAAAAGTCATGACAAATATGTTTTGTTTACCTCTTCACTTTACTGAAAAAAACCTCTGGTTCTAGAAATCTTTATTTCTTTCTAGATTCTTGGCTTTACTTTCTAAACTTAAAACACATAAAAGAGATATTAACTTCTTGTCATGGAAAACCAAGACTTTGAGAGGCTTACCGGCTTTCAACATATAGTAGCAGTAGATTTCAGCCCATGTCTGTCTTACAGTTGCAGCTGAAAATGCATAATGCTGACATAATTCTGATTAAGACATTGAATACAGTATCCTGGTGCCAAGTCATTGAACTGTACATATCCTTTGCAAAAAGCTACCCATCACATCTGCTATATTAGACTATAGGGACAAATGTTATAGAAGAGTTAGTTTGACTGAATCCCAGGACAATCCAAACAATTCAACCAAACAAATATTAAAAGACTCACCTTTTAGATGAAGAATAAAATGTTTTCGTTTTATGTTTTTACTGCACTTTTTAAAGAATGAAACTTTTCTTTGAAAGAGCAATAGGAATTGTAGGTATATTTTGCTCAACCAGTTTCTTGATGAAGAACGCCCACGTGTCTTTTCTGAGTTCTAATCTTTTCAAGTTCTTAACCAACATTGTGGTTCCATAACAGTTCCATTTCATTGGCTTGTTTATAATCCCCAACGGGGAGGACATAATTGAACCGGCATTATTACTAGAAATGTACGAAAATACAAAGCCCAAGGAACTCCACAGAAGGCATGATGAGGAACAAAGAAATCAGAGTTGGAAGGCCCCATTTTATTTCATATTGTGAACTGTAAAATACCTCACATGCCAACTTTGCTTCTAAATCATCCCATTTTAGAATTGGAAGGGAACTTAGAGGCCATTTCGTCTGGTTCATTCATGTTATCTATTTTTAAGTAATTTTTATTGATATATTTTTCTTGTTAGAAAAGCAACATATGTTTATTGAAGTTAATTTATGCTAAGTGAAGCTAGACAATCCCTAAAAAACAAATGCCAAATGTCTTCTTTGATATAAGGAGAGTAACTAAGAACAGAGTAGGGACGAAGAGCATGAGAAGATTAACATTAAACAGGGATGAGAGGTGGGAAGGAAAGGGAGAGAGAAGGGAAATTGCATGGAAATGGAAGCAGACCCTCAGGGTTATACAAAATTACATACAAGAGGAAGTGAGGGGAAAGGGAAAAATAATACAAGGGGGAGAAATGAATGACAGTAGAGAGGGTAGAGAGAGAAGAGGGGAGGGGAGGGGAGGGGAGGGGAGGGGGGATAGTAGAGGATAGGAAAGGCAGCAGAATACAACAGACACTAGTATGGCAATATGTAAATCAATGGATGTGTAACTGATGTGATTCTGCAATCTGTATACGGGGTAAAAATGGGAGTTCATAACCCACTTGAATCAAAGTGTGAAATATGATATATCAAGAACTATGTAATGTTTTGAACAACCAACAATAAAAAATTAAAAAAAAAAGAATAAAATATTTTTGGTCTAAGTCAAAAAAAAAAAAAAAGTAGAGATAGAGCAAAAAATAAGATTTAAAAAGTGCCTGTTATCTCATCCTCCAGACAGAGCAACTATTAAGCATTTGCAACATTTTCTTTCTTCTGTTTTAAAACTCATATATAGGTAAAATTTCAACAAAATGGATTATTCTGAAATATTATAACCTGTTTTTTAACTTAACAATATGCCATGAGTATCTCTCTATATAACTTCATGTTCTTTCATAAATTATTTTTAATGGCCAAAAATACCCCATTGCATCAATGAACTATAACTATATTTTTTAACTATAAGTGTTGAGTTATCTCTAAATCTTTGCTATGTATCACCAGTACTATGGGATTTGCCCTTCTATCTTAATTTTGCCTTTATAAATTAACCATGTTATTTTATTTTATTTTTTTCAAGGCTCATAAAATGATTCTAGCACCTTAATCTTACAAAAGAGAAAACTAAGTCACAAAAATGAGAATTTTGTTGCCCAAAGCTATACAGCAAAAAATATATATGCTGTATACATACATATGTGTTTATATATGTGTGTGTGTGTGTGTGTGTGTGTAACAAATTCTTATCAGAGCTAAAACTAAATGCTAAGATTCTAGAAGTTCAGTAATTCTTCCCACTCTTCTTTGCTTTGTACTCTTCTTTTCAGAGTTCTCTTTTTAGTAAATTTCAATTGCTCCCTAAAATCCAATGGCTAAATTGACATTTAGAAATCATGGAGTTTGAGGATCAAATAGATATAATACTTCTTCCACTGTCCTTTCCTATACTCATGACCTTTATTGCTAATCACTCATAGGACTCTTTGCCCTTGACTGTCTACATCTCTGTCCATCACAGCATGACTCTCCATGAAGGCTGTAACAGTGTATAAGAGTAGCTACATGACATAAAATCTCTTTTTTCATTAGTCCAACCTCTTTGTTATGCAAATAAGAAAAATGCAATCCCAAAAAAAGAAAGACTTTGTCTAAGGAGTTAGGAAGAAGTTAATGATTAATGACAGCGACAAGGCCAAAATAGTTACTCTAGCAGAAAGGAAGCATAATCCCCTTTTTTCTTTTTGTGTATTTTTATTTTATTTCATTATATTAATTTACTTCATTTTAAGCTTAATACAAGCTTTATAAAAAATCTTATAAAAATTTTATAATTTATAATTTTCTAAGAAAAAAATCTTATAAAGGTAGGTATTAGCATTCCCACTTTATAGGCATAAAAATTCAGGCATAAATTTGAATGAAGAGTCATCAGGGCTAGATAGTAATTAGTAACATTTTCATATCTTGTTTTTTTTTTTTTTCTTCCCACTAATCATCCTGAAAATAGTATGCAGACTTTCAATGGGTTTGGATAGCAGGGCATGAATGTTGGCTCATCAAGGCCTGAGCTGGGGAGCTCATCTGTTTTTGTCTCCCTCCAGGAGAATTCCTGAGTTTTGCTGATGACTTACTCTCTGGCCTGGGCACATCTTGTGTAGCAGCTGGTCGAAGCCATGGAGAGGTCCCTGAAGTCAGTATCTAATTGGTCATCATCAAGTGCCTGGAGCCCAATGGTCTCTACAAGTAAGACGTGATGGGTATGTGGGGAGTGATGGCAGGATGATTTCAAGCCTGGGAGGGAAGGTAGCACTTATTCTCTTCAGGTCAGCCAAATGTTTTATTAGACAACCTGTGTGTGTACGTTGAGGTTCTGAGGCTTAGAAGTGTCCATTTGGGAAGTATTGTTACTGGTAGTCAAAAAATCAATGTGCTCAAGAGCCCAGGAAAAGAAAGCAGAAATTCAAAACTATTCATCCTACTGACAGAGAATCTGCAGCCCAGAGGGAAATCAAGATCACAGAGCAAGTTATCAAGGAGAGCTGGATGAAACCCCTGCCTACTGCTCTTTTCTGTCTTTCATGCTGTTTCCCTTTAGAAACATTATATATCCGAGACATATGTACACACACACACACACACACACACACACACACACACACACAGAAGTATCTGTACCATTATATCTCCATGGTACAATGCGTAAGTCACTGCATTTAAACCTTTGCAGATGAAGTCATTCTCAGATTCATTTGTTAATTTCAGAAAATAAAAGAGGCTTATTTTTCAACCATTTCCTACCTTGATGAGTATTGCTACATCTGTATGGCTTTCTAGAGACTGACTCTCTTCATATACCCTAATTATGGATCCATAGGCCACCTCCCTTAGTAGCCTAGAAAGCTACATTTGTTAAGAAGCTAAGCCTTGTTCATCAATTATCCAACTTATTCATTTATTATTTTATTTCATCACTCAGTGATTCATTCACTCACACATTCACCTATCCATCAACCCAACATTCTGCCATCTTCCATTTATCTCTCCCTCACATCTTTCCTCCCTCTTTCCCTTCTCTATCCATCCCATGTGTCCATTTATCCACACTTAGATTTCTTCATTTCATTTACCAACTGTTTTGTTGACATTTTTATTTACTCATCATACCTCATTTACTTATTTAACAGACGTTTTCTGAGGGTCTCTTATGTCTTGGCACTGCATTATGGACTTTAGGTATGAATGTTAACTTAGCCAGAGGTCATATTCTTAGATAACTTAGAACCTAGTGATAGTGTAAAAGGCCATAAACATTGTATTCAAGTCTGACTTTAGTCCTTTTAGTTATATGACCTAAGCTCTGCCTTTGTAAAACAGAAATAATAAAACCTAGTTTATGGAGTCTTTTTTTTTAAAATGATAATTAAACATTAATTAAACATTGGGGTTAGCACAGTATCCTAGGTATATGCTCAATAAATATTAGCTTCTCCACAATCTCTGAACCTCTCTCACCTCTAAAGCACATTGAATCTCCCACTTATGCTTGCTTTTTATGAAAATACTGTGACTTTTCCAAAAACCATGGTGCCCTTTTGAGTGCTTGACATATTCAGGCTTTTTGCTAACGTCCAACAGATTAGTGCACCAAACTCAAGAACATCACTGTAAGCTGGGAATTGGACCTTCTGACCCTGGCTCTGCCACCGAGTGTCTCAGAGGCATTGAGATTCAAGATTTCTCTTAAATCACTTGGGAGCAGTGAATCCTATGACAGGAATCCCTGTACTGTGCTGTCAGAACTCTTTTGTGAAGCATCTAGACTTCACAGTGAGGGTAGAATGTACCTCAGGCCTCAAAGAATGACTGCAGTTCTCATAATGATTGGTGGAACTGAATTCAGACTTTACATCCTGACCAGTAAGCCCTGCCACTATGACTAGATTAAGAGGCATAAGGTCCTCTCCAAATATAAAAGTTCTGATCCCATGAAGAAAATAGCATTTTCAGAATTTCTTGGTGGTTGTCATCTGGTTCCTCTGTCCCTCATTAAGGGTGATGACCAGAGGCAGACAGACCTAAGTTGAAATCCATGCTTCCCCCTTTATCAGGTGTGTGATATCAAGTTACTGAATGCGGTGCTCAACCTTCTGAATCTCCACTTCCTCCTGTGGGAAGTAGATGAAATGGTGTCTGGCTCACTGGGACTCTAGGAGGCCCTGGTGAGATCATGTACAAAGGCTTTCTGCTTGGTGATGAGCTCCCGGTAGGAGTGTAAGAAACATCAGCTGTTACCCCTGTTGTTGTTGTTACCCTTGGTGATTGTTAATTTCAACTTCCTCCCTATCCATTCTTCAAGTGATGGGAGAGAGAGCAGTTAGCAGAAAGGGTCAGAGCCCCATCAGAAGGAGTAACCATGTCTCTGGGTGGCATTGTAGGGGACTTGTGTTGGATAATGCGTAATGGTCAGACATCATCCTCCTATGATGTCTGACCAACGTGGTCTTGTGTTTTAAGATAGTTCCTAGTGTTCTTTCTTGGGGTTTCTCCTTTTCTTCTTGTTAGTTTCCTTACCAAAATAGAGCAATGGAATATTTTATGGATCTGCAGAAAAGCAGTTAACACAAGAGATGCCATATCAGTTGCCATCCTCCATATATGATGAACACACTCCTGTGCCCTTCTTCTCCTCACTGCCTGGCACTTTTCCTACTTACCTCTTGAAGTAGGGAAAGTTCTTCCTCTGTCCTGGAAATGTGCTTGTCATGAACTTGTCCTCCCTATCTCTGAACACTTCTTTATTTTATTTATTTATATATTCATTTATTTATTTTTGAGATTGATTTTGTAAATGGCCCTGGGATCTGGGCCACTCTGACCAGGAGCCAGAGGATTATTTGGAATGTTCTCTCATCCCACTGGCAGCCCTCCTCCTATGATGTCTGACCAACGTGGTCTTGTGTTTTATGATAGTTCCCAGTGTTCTTTCTTGGGGTTTCTCCTTTTCTTCTTGCTAGTGTCCTTACCAAAATTTGTTTTCTTCTGTTTGAGCCAAAAAGGCCATGTGAGGCAGTGGAATGAGCACAGACTTGAGGGACAGACTGGGCTGGGTGTAGATCCTGATTCTGTCCTGTACATACTCCTAACTTGACCCCCGGCAAGTCATTTTTACACTGTTCCACATGATAGTTTCTTTCTTTGGAAAAGAAGATTGGTAATCTCTTCTATTTCATAGAATTACGGAGAAGAGGATTGAGTTGACAAACTACAAGAACAGGCTTTACCAGAATGCCTGGCACAGAGGAAGCCTGCAGGAATGTTAACAATTTTTCTTCTCATTTTATTCTTCTTGACTCAGTCCTTGGTTATCAATGTCTTTTTCTTCCAAGAACAACCCTGGAGGAACTTGTCCCTATGAAGCAATTTGAAATCCCACTAGCCCCAAAAGGAATGACCATCCAGAATCCTTTGGGAAGAAAGAAGAGAGAGTGGATTCAGATGAGAGAAGGCTCAAAAAGAACTTAGTTGAACACAGCCTGATTTCAGTCCCCCCATGGAGGCTTCCAAAGAGATTCAGGTGTCAGGAGACTGGAGCCCCTGGCTCTCCACCAGGGAGCCTGGGTTCACATCCTGTTGCCATCATTTCTGCCTCTGGAACTTTGGGCTAGACATTCCTATCATTGTATTTGCTGTGCCAATTCAGCATGTTTAAAATGAAGATGCACCAGATCCCCCACAGCTTGAGAGTTCTGCATATTTTTACCATGGGATTTACTCTCATTCTGTCTCTCTTTATCCTCCTCCTGGGCTCCTGTCTTTTCAGTTTCTTTAGCTCTCTAACTTTTGTTTTGCCCCTCCTGTGCCTCTCTGTTTCTCTGTATCTCTGTATCTTTTAAAACCTGTTCAGAAAAGTATTTCCTTACAGATTCCTATCTTTGTCTGACATTCTCCTTTTTTCTTTTTTCTTAATATATTTACAAATAATTTATATATAAAAATTTATAAATATAAAAATAGTCATTCCACTGCCTCACATGCCCTTTTTGGTTCAAACAAAGAAAAAAATACACACACACACACACACACATAATGCCTTTATTTTATTTATTTTTATGTGGTCCTGAGGATCGAACTCAGTGCCTCTCACAAGCTAGGCAATCACTCTACCATGGAACTACAACCCCAGCCCTTACTCCTTTTTTCCTATGTGTTATCCTCTTAGTTTCTGCTTCTGTATGTACGTCTCAGTCTCTGTTCCATTTCACACTTGAATTATGTTCTCTCTGTCTTCCAATCCGCCCCCCCATCCAGCCCCATTCCCTCTCTCCACCCATCTAGAAAGGCAAATTGCTTTTGCAGCCCCTTCATCCATGTAATTTCACACAGTGCCTCAGGGTGAGACCAATTGGAAGAGTGAAAGTCAAGTCTGATTTTCTGTCCTAAGCTCACCCTGGTGTAACAAAACAGAAACATCAGCACCTGTGCCCTATTTAAATTGAATTTCCTTGTTTGTTTCATTTGTTTTGCTTTGAATGAAAACAAACAAGAACAGCAGAGAGAGGGGGTGGGTACCCAGAAGGTCTGCGAGTGTAGCCAGCCCCTGTTTCCCCTGGGGTGTTGAAATCCAGGGATGACCCTGAACAGGAGTTTCTATTCAGTGCCAGTGACTGAGGCCAGTCTGGGCATCTGTGGTCCCTGTCCTTGCCTGGCTAGAGGCTTAGACACCCTTCGTGTAGCTGCTGTCCAATTTCCTATTACCCAAGGTAATTAGCCTCTGTCTTGTCTTGGCTGGCTTGCCTGTCTTGAATCATGGATAGCTGCCAAAGGGTCCTCAGCAAACATACCAGCAGCAGCCAGGCCTGATTCCTGGGGTGGGGGACGCATTCCCACACATCCAGAGGCTTGCACCAAGCCCACCCTGGCTTCATCCTATGAAAGGAGTGCCAAGGGAGCCTGGGTACTGCAGCCAAGTGCCAACATCCATGGTGGGAACAGAGTCTTTAGAGGAAAACTCCTTAGCAGGGGTGAGTGGGGTTAGAGGAATAGTGGAAAACCAAGGCCCTGGAAAAGGCAGGGCATTGCAACAAAACAAAACAAACAATGAAGCTGAGGTCAGGTGTCAGACTACTCTCAGCCATACCTTGGGCCACTTCTTTCCTCTCCTCTGGTCTTAATGTTCACATATGTGTTAGGAAAGGTTGACGTCAGTCAGTGCTAAGACTTGTGTTTCCAAAGGTAAGGATGGAGAGT